TTTCATTCCTGCCTCTGCTCAAAGACTGCAAACCCCAGGTCTGGTTGTTAAGCAGGTCACTGATTGGAACTGAGCAGACGGTTCGAAGCAGGTGACAGTGCCTCCACAGGAGGACGTGACATGAAAAGGTCCACAGACATCAAAGGCACCAAGATGCAGAACGTCCAGCTCCCTATCTACATTTTTAGAAACCAGTTCAATGGCTCCTACTCTATAGATGAGAAAGGCAGGGAGGACGAAAGTGATCTGAAAAAATACAGATAACATGTTTTCCTCCAAAGGCCTTCAGGCTGCTTATCAGATAAAGTAGTTTCCATTCTAAGTGGTCCCTTCCTTTTCAGGAAGGTTACACTCACGTAGTATGAACAGAAAGCAACCTCTTGGCTGCTCACTGCGACTGAACTATATTGCCAAGGGAGAAATCCACAGTTATCCACAGGAGAAAGGATCCTAGAAAATAACAGTGCTTTTACTTCCAGCATTTACTCCACGAGTACGTGGCATGTAAGAGATGAAAGAAAGTAGACGAAGAGAAAAAAAGAAACCTCCCAGGGAAGCACTGAAGAAGAAAGGTGGAAATGTCGAGTGTAATTTTAACAAAGCAGGGAGGGAAGGCACTGCACAGTGTAGTGGTTATGGGACACTTGGCTTGGAATCCGAAAGATCCAGACTCTGTCACTTACTGTGACCTTGGAAAAATTATAGAACCACCTCCTGTAAGCCCAAGAGTCTGTTTCCTTCTTTAAAAACTGGTGAGAGCAACAGTGTGCTCTCCTTAGAGGTATTATGAGGCTTAAAGGAGAACCCAAGTGAAGGGCACAGCGCCTAGAATATGAGCTGATAGTACTAACCAGTTTGCCTTTCTTTGCACGTCATCTTACACTAACATCATCTGCCAACTAATACTTACAGAGTATTTATTATGTACTAGGCCCAGTGCTAAGCTCTGGATTTCAAAAAATTAAGTCAAGGCTTAGATTAATTATATTAATAAACCAGCCTTAAATTTGGGAGTATTTGTACTCTTTCCCAGATTATTGCAAGGACTAAATGAGAAGATGCCTCCCGTGCGGGGTTTAGTGCAGTGCCAGCATACACGAAGTACTCAAGAAAAGGTAGAGTCTACTACACCAAGGGCAAGCTCCGTTTGTCTTGGTAGCAAATGGGAGGGTGAGAGGGTTGACCTGAACCTGTGTTTCCTGTTCCCATTTAGCCACATCCTTTGCTGCCAGCTCTTAGACTCCCTGGTCAGTCCCTAGCCTATACCAGGTACCTGGCTCTTCTAGAACAACTATGGAAGGACCAAGCAGCTCCAGAGCTTGAAGGTTAAGGTTAAAATAGAGAAAATTAGTCAGGAGTAGTAGCTGGAAGGAAGCCTAAGGGGCTTGCGGCCTCTAGTAACGTTATTTCTCCATTTGGATGCCAGTTACATGGACGCGTTCACTTTGAGAAACTTCAACAATTAAAATGTGCGCTCTTTTCTGTATAGGTGTTATGTTACGATAAAACATTTTCTAGAAATAGAAACTCTCTCTCCCCACTATCTAAAGCATACAGCAGTCCTTCCCAATGGTATGCCACAACTGGGTCACAGGCATGTGAGGCCAGTCACCTGTGGCAGCAAGCAGCCTTGTCAGTTGACCCCAGGGAACAGTGCAAGTACCATCATTTTTTGATTAAGAATGCACTGATCTCAAGTACCGAGAACAATATCCTCCTTAATCTGTAACAAAAGAACAATATCCTCAATCGTGAGTTTACTCCTAGGTTTTTTCCACCTAAAATCAATTTTATTTACTCAATTTTTAAATTACTTTTATCATCTCCAACAAGACGAGAGTGCACAACACTTAAGGGCCAACAGCCCTAGACTGGGCCAGATGGGGTGACTCACACCTGTAATCCCAGCATTTTGGGAGGCCATCACTTGAAGCCAGGAGTTAGAGAGCAGCCTGGGCAACACAGCAAGACTCTACCTCTACAAAAAATAAAAAAATTAGCTGGGTGTGGTGATGCACACCTTATCCAGGAGGCTGAGGCAGAAGGTTCACTTAAGCCCAGGAGTCTGAGGCTGCAGTGAGCTACGAGGACACCACCGCACTCCAACCTGGGTGATGGAGTGAGATCCTGTCTCTAAAAAAAAGACCAAAAAAAAAAAACTTCCTCTAGCCCTAGACTGCTCTTTACGAAATTGTTAGCCTTTCTGACATCATTCTATCTTACTCTCCACTGACAACAAGCAAATGTCTAGAACATCCCTTTTTGTCCCCTAACATCCTTTCCCCCAAATCAATGGATCGAAACCTAAAAAATTTTCAATCATTTATCAAGTCAATGGATACGATACAGACTACATGCTGGTTTTCTCTTTGAAAGTTTATTGTTACTAAAAAAAAAAAAAAAAAAAAACCTATACTTTTTACATTTTACATTCACCTCTCAGAACATTTAACGGTACCAGTTAATGATATATAAAAAGCTCACTAGCTGTTTGAAATGGCTGCAAATTTACCACGTTCTGGTATTAAAGTGGTTTGAACTCTTTGGAAAAACTGGTGTAACATTTAAGTACCAAGATTTGAAATTCCCAGATGAGAAAAAATTTTTAAATCTGGAGGAAATTATTTAGTAAAAATTCAAGGCTAAAAGGAAATGTTAAAACAAAATGAAAAATACCATTAAAAACAGGATACCCCACCCCCAAGAATTAGGTAAAAAATGCAATCAACCCTGCCCCACCCGCCATATTTCTCTTAGAAAAGCCACTCAGTCCTGAACTCAGGGTCTCATACACAAATACATGTAGCTTGATTTGCAGATCAGCCTCTGGGATCTTACACTGCCCCAGTTAGAAGTTTAAACAGCAAAATTAAGTTAGGTAGTCAGATATCCATAAATACTGGAATTCAAATGAAAACATCTTGGCTTTGGTATGGCTACAGAAATCCATCTGGAAATTGTTCAAGAGGGCACTGGCTTGGAGAGAAGGGGTGTGGAAGGGGGCACACAAAAACCTTCAGAGGTAAAATAAATAGTGAGACACATCCACAGAAAACACTGTACATAATGCCTGAGAAGGATGCCTCTAACAAAACACACATACAGCTTGATTTGCAGATCAGCCTCTGGAATCTGGACCAAACCTTTTTCAAAGTATCGCTTTCAGGAAATACTTTGAACTGGGAAATTCATTGGGTACCGTGGGGTCTAGTGAGAGAAAAGACCTCTGGGAATAAGAATGGCCAGCCAGGCTAAAGGCCAGCCCCCTCTTACTCTGGGAACCTCCAAGTCTGTCTTCCCCCTTTAGTTAGGCTTCTGTCCATCAAAGACAAGAGGGCTCCTCTGCCCCTGGTCACCGCAGAGGCCTGTCGGAAGTGTTCAACTGCTCATTTTCCACTTCTGGAGTGACTAAATCAATTAATCCTTCTGGGAATAGGAATGTAATTTATTACACTGTGTCTCGAGTCTACGTCACATTTTCCCCAATTTCCACTAGGCCATGATTAGGGTTGTGAGGACACTGAGTAGAAGGCAGTGGTAGGTGGGGTTAAGACCATGTCTAGGTACGGCCTCGAATACCCTCAAAAGTCACAGAGAAGGCAAAAATACCCTGGTCTTCAAATAAATGGTTACTTCACAAAAGCACAAAGGTGCCACCAGACAAGGCGGGGGGTAGGGGGGAAGGCAACTTGTTGCTGCTTCAATGCAGAACCCCCAGCGGTTATTGCTATAATCCTTTTAGATAAGAACAAACTTTGATATACTGTTAGGAGGACAAAGATGATCACTTTAAAAAAAAAAAAAAAAAGCCCACCTTCCCATAGTAAAACATACTAAATGTATATAAATAAATTCCCATCCCAGGGTGCCAAATGACAACCAATCACTGCCTGATATACGATGTTACATACACAACAGTGACGATTCCAGCTAGAGAAGTCCTCCCTCACTGCACAGGCCATCAAGGACAAATAAAAGGTGAAGTCTGTTTACTGTGGGCTTGGTTCAGTACAGTAAACATCAAGATACCGGGGATCCGAGGGCAGAAAAGAAACACAGAATGCCCACGCAACTTTTGATAACAGCATCCTTTATCCTGTTTTCTAAATAAGACTCCAACACCAGAAAAAAAAAAAAAAATGAGAGGAAAAAAGGGATTATAAGTTAAAACAAAAATCTATCTGTACAAGTCTTTATTCTGAGTCAGTAAGGTTTGGTCTCTGTGGAAGCCAGAAATTAGGAGAAGGTGATTTACTTGTCACTGCAGCACCCCAACTTGCTTTGGGGTCTGTACATCAAGAGACAACAGAAAGAGAATCACTTGAGACCAAGGGAATTACTTACAAAGATTTCCTAGGATGTGTGAGGTCTATTAGTTGCCCACAGAGACACCAACAGTTGCTCTAACCGCAATTTCTTTAAACGTCTCAAGATGGTAACTGGAGTACAGAGAACGCCATCACCTATCACCGAATCAATCACTTCTCCACAAGCGGGGCTGAGGGGAGGGAACAGGGAAGGAACGTAGGGAAGGCTGCTTCGACAGGACCCATTAGGGAGAGTGCAGGTTTAGTGGCAGCTACAACAGAGCTTTCCTTATCTTCCACCTGGGCCAGATCTCCCAGGAGGCTGTGGGTGCCCGCCACCTGACATTGAGGTTCCACAGGTTTGGAAGGGCCAATGTGTGATAACGGCATCAGCAATGAGAGTGAAACCTGAATTATGCATGAGAGTCTATAGATCACTGATTACTGCACTATCAATGTCACCTCCCTACCTACAAGCGATTACCCAGATCATCAGCCTGTGGCACACATCACCTTCTATTTACTTGGGAACAGGGGAAAGAAAGGAATTACAAATGAAAACATCCGAAATGACCACTTCTTGTTCCAGCTTGAGCTAGGACAAATGTGTTTGAATAAATCACTTGCATTAAATAACATTTAAAATATGGTAACTTTAACACATTATGAACATGAAAGGTCCCCCCACCCCCACCCATTTACTTCAGTGCACACAGTCTCCAGGCACATTTTTCCATCATTTAGCCAGTGGGATGGATGGCACGTGCCAGATGTCACACAAGGCATTTACTTCTCCGAGAAGGCTGAGAGCCAGGAGAATTAATCTCCTTCTGCTAGGACCTCTGCCCCAAGCTTCTGGGGAAACAGTGAATTGGGCTCAAGGAGGGAAGTAGCTACATGATCCACTCATCAGATTCAAATCATGAAAATGCCCTGTAGAGTGTATCCCTTCCTGTTCTTCTCCATGGTAGAAAGACCTAAAGATAATTAACAGAAAGAGCTATCTCTGCAAACTCAAAGCAATTTTCAAAAAAAAAAAAAGACAAAGTATAAGCAAAAAAGAAAGAAATAAAAGGAGAGTAAATCAAACTCCCAATACTCCTGAAAGTAAAACAGTCCCATGGTAACTGATGCCTGGAAGAAGTCGAGGCAGAAAAGACTGACACAAAGATGAAAGTGGCCAGGCACAAAAGTGCCTTGAGAAATCCATGACAGTGTTCTCCATTTCCAAGTCCAGGTAGCCATTCCCAGTTAGTTAAAAATTTTCTATTAAAAAGAAAACAAAACAAAAATAAAAACCACTCCAGGAAAAGGGTCACGGGAAGAAGAATACTGTAGAAAAGTCAAGCTGCTGACCGCCGGCGGATCACAAAGAGCCCTCGTTGAAGCTGGCCCAAGTAGATCCTCATTTTGGTGCTGTCACTTGTTTTCCTCACCCAGATCTGTAGGAAAGAAGAAAAGGAACAAGATGTGAGAGGCTAAGAAATATTGAAGAGCAAATCTCCTGGAACATCAAAATATTTTCATGAGTTAGATGTGGACAGAAAACTGGCAACCTCTTGTTTAAAGGAACTACCTCAACCTCGAGAGACGTCACAAAAATCTCCTCGACCTTGGGCCATCCTAAAGGCATGCCTTTGGTGTAAGAAACAGGCATCAGCCTTGAACTCGTTCCTCCTGGCCACCTTTCTCACACCTCTGATCACAAAATGGAAAGCACAGCGATCTTGGGTTCCATTTTTGCCTTGATCTTTAAGACTCTCAAATTTGGTCTGATTACAGCATTATCAGCACTCAAGAGACATGTACTCATGAACATAAACTTTCAATCAAATTTGGAAATATTTTCCTTGCCCCAAGGGGCTACCATATTATATAACCTTTCAATACTCTGATTTCCTGGGAACAAAGGGTAATGGCTGTAACAGAAAAAGAAGGAAAAATATACGAATAATAAAAAAGATGCCCATGAGTGAGCTAGGGACAAATTACAACCTTAAGAAGGCTGAAGAGCTCACAACAGTCCTTCCCTCCCCATATCCCTCTCCCGCAGATGGGATCAGATTTCTCACGTTTGGACTGCCAGGGCTGACAAGTACACTCAGCAAGTGGCATCCTGCAGCTAGAGACAGGAGGGAGAGCTGCCATCAGTCATCTGACACCCCTGAGCTCTTAGTGTGTCCCAGACATTGTGCTGATCAAACTGAGCCTTTTCACCCTCAAAACAGCCCTATGAAGTGAGTACTGTCATTGGCCCCATTCTATAGAAGAGAAAACCAAAGCTCAGCAAGGCTGAATCACTTGTCCCGAAGTCAATTCTGGCGCCTGACATCAAAGCCTCTCGCTCTTCTCTATTAAACCAGCCCCTGACCCTTCTCTGTCTTTCCGTAACATGCAATTAAATGAAGCCAAAAGCATGGCTTTTTTTGAAAGTCCTGCATCTCACCCATATATACAAGTTTACAGACAAATCTCCTCCTTCCTCAACTCTAATTTCAGGTTTTAAAAAAGCTTATTCTCAGTTTCATCTCAATTTCTTTCATGTGATTTAGCAACAGAGACTTTAAAGTCAAATACACTGGTTTAAAAATAAAAAAGTTAAAGATCTCACACAAAGCTAAGCCTCTAAAGGAACTTGCAGAACCATTTTGAACTGAAAACTAACCCCAAGGAGGGCTAAATCGGGGAGTCACCAACATGCTCAGACCCACCTACCAAACCTGCTCAGAGATGAGTTACGATAAAGCCAAGTAGCTCCAGTGCCACTTAGAATTTGACCTGAAAAATGAGCAGAACACTTCCAAGAAATGAGAAGTGTTTTCTCATTACCAAAGTTGCACGCCTCCAATGCACCGAGGCTTCTCTTCTCCAGAAGACATGTCTCAGTGTCACTGTTTCCTTGTCAGATCTCACGGATACTCGATTATGTCAAACAGTGATAATATTCGACAGAGAGAGAGAAAAAAATGTAACTTGCATTTCTATTTTTCTGAAAAATCTTGGGGTGTCACAGAGGAAAATAACGCACTGGTTCTGAAGTTAGGTTTAGGTGCTAGAAGGCCACACGAGCTTTGTCCAGCAATCCACACAGCCAGACAGAAATGCTCTACCATGAAGTCACAACACCTCTTGGCTGAGGAATAGTAGGTCTCCCTATTAGACCCCCTCTTCCGGTTTTGGCTTGGTTTGAGGTGACTCACAGAACCTGAGCCCAGAGAAGAATGACATTCATTTACCCAGAAGGCTCTCCCTAACTTCTAAGTAAACAATCATTTTACAAACTAGTCACATATGTCATTTTCAATTCAGGAAGCTGGGAGAATAAAAGAGGCTTAAGTTATTTCATAATCTAGTTTCATTAGATTTACTGTGCATTGGCACAAATAAGTTACAGAGGGTAGACACGTAAAAATCAATTTCTTTGCAAACATTTGTGGACTGATAAAAGATCAAGCCAATCCAGCTATTAAAGTTTTAAACTTTATCTACTAATAATACAAGTTATATTGTGGACATGCTCCTAATGAAGGGCCACTTGGAGAACTCACAAGGCAGTCACATCATCCTCAGGTGTAATCCTCTGAGCTGACCCCATCCTGCAGGAGTGACTCAAGGAGACCAACACCTAAGGGCATGAGCCTGGCAGCGCGACGTTCAGATGCACAATGGGACACATCACATGGGAAAAACAGCAGGCTAGGAGTAACATGTGGGTCGGATCAGGCCAGCACCCATGTAGCAAGCATTTACTGGGTGCTAGATCCTATGCCAGGTGCCTCATTAAATCCTCACATCCAGAAACAAATCTATTGGTATGTATGGAAGTTCTAGAAAAATAACAAAGACGGAGTATGCTCCACAGGCAAGCTCCATGCTCAGAAGACAGTTACCTTAAAAAGAAGCAGGATTTGAATGCACAGACATCACACAGACTTGCCTTTTGTTCTTTCCTGTAGTGTAGTTCAGTGGTTCCCTGTTCATTTACTGTATGGGAAGTTTGCAAAGACCACAAGGAACATACAAATCTGCACATATTATAGTCAAGCAAACGTAAGGGATTTTCCAAGGGTCATTCTGACTACGTGCAATTTCTGCCTGAAAATGCTGACTTTAGACTCTAACCCACATATAAGACATGATTCCACTGTACTTTCTTTGTGGCACTTTCATTTCAGGTTTGTCATATTTTTAACACTTCAAGGAGCACATTTTGCTTTCTTAAGGGTGAGGGAGTGCAGTTCCTACCTCATTGGCTCCGACAGAGCTAATCACACAGCTCAGTTTCTGGTTGTCCTTTGACTCCAGATAGATGGCTTGGCTCTTGTGGTACCTGCCAAAAACAGCGCACAAATTTGAAAAAAGACAGGGAAGAAGGAAGGAAAAAGGAAGAAAAAAAAACCCACTATAACAGAAACTATAATTAAGGAAGTCTTAATAATTCATATTTGAGGAAGAGCCTGGATTTCAGAGGGTTTAATTTAAAGGCTTCCATTCCTGAATAGGATGAGATGACCTCCTAATCTTCCTCTGGATCTAAGCTTATATTCCTTGGTCCCTCTGCAGAGGAGAAAGGGGAGAGGGGATGAGGAAAGAGTTGGAAAACCAAATGTTTTTCCTATTTATTTGGACTATATGATCCAGTCCAAAAAGTAAATTAAAACTTTTAAAGGAAAACCTCTGTTCCCACCCCAAAACATTGAAGGCTGGATGGTGAAAACAGATAGGCTTGAATAACTGTTGCTGTTCATTTTCTGTTTGTTCAAATACATCACCAATAAGAAGGCAGGCTGACTTCAGTCCTGACTTTAGTCACTCATTAAAAAATACTCATCAAGCACTTACTGTGTACCACTGATTATGCTGGAGGTTGAAGACAGACAGTGAACAAGGCCACAAGGTCCCTGCTAACACAGAACTTCAAATACAGTGGGGACAAAGAACATTAAATAATCACACCTGGTATGTGCTAGTTAGGAGAAGTTCTAAGCATCAAGATGTACACCAAGGGTATCCAATTTGGCCTGGACAGTGGGGAAAGCTCCTGTAATTGGAGGAGATAAGACAGACACTCCCTTTTTAACTTCTCCATCTACTCTCTTGGCCTGTGTGCATGGCCACTGCTAACTTCTGGAAGTACAGGGATAAGGCTAAGGACCAAAGTGAACATGCCAGGGCCAAAGCCCAAATGGGACAATAGCAGCTGCCATAGGATGAAGCAGCAGCTGCTGGATTACAAGAGTTGGAAACACCAGCTGAACTGCTGCTAGCAGCCCCAGCCTGGGCCAACTCCAGCTCAGTCAAGAACATAACCTTTGGTTCATTTGGGCTGCAGAGATCTGCTTAACTGGACTCAGCTAAACAGACTCATAAACTCATGCAAATTCCACCAAAACACATCTCTCAGCAAAGCACTGCATCTTATTACTATTATTTCTCTAGGGAAAGTCAACTCTGTTGGTATAACGAAATAACCTACTGCCAAGATATCATAGCAAAGGATATACTTCAATTCCACAATGAGCTTTTTCCAATCTAGGTTCTAAGTGCTCTTTAACCCTACTACTTAGGGAGCTGAAAACTCAGGTTTCCAAGTCAATTTACTTCCTGAAAATACTGGTAAAAGAAATTGAATTTTAAATGCAATTAGAATACTGAGATTGGTTTAGGCCCAAGTTTTGAAGTCACTTTTGGCCGTGCGTTAGTTGGTAGAATGGGTCAGGGACCTTCATTATGCTAACCATGTAATATTACAAGGTCCAAGTTATACAATGCATGAGGAGGCTAAATTAGTTCATGGCAACACTCTTAACACTTCCCTTGGTCTCTCTCCTGCATCTAAGCTAACTATCCTATGTAAACAGTAAAGTCTTGAGTAATGGTGAAAATAAAAATACAGAGGGAGAAGAACACTCACAGTTATTCTATAGGGACTGCGAGTTATTAAAGAGATAAAAACACAAAACAAAATACAACTAGCCTCAAGTCATTCTAAACACTTTAATAAAGTAAGGTCATGGGTGGGGTGCAGAAGTTTATTACTAGTGTAGAAACATGCTCAATATACTGTTAAATGGAGGGAAAAATACTATGTCCACAATGTTCCTGGGTTTGTAATAAAATATACATGTTCCTGTGTATCACATACACACACAGAAACACACGCAAAAAAATTGGTAAATATATATTAAAATTCTATAAAAATGTAAATTAAGAATGGTATTTATTTTATTGTATGGCTTCCTTTTTTAAGAATAAATAGGTGTTACATAAAAAAGTAAATAGTATTTTCATAAGTCATGGTATTAGAAAATACCTAAATAATAAACATGAGGTAAAAAGAAAATTTAATGTCACAAAGGTCTGTAAAGAAAACCATTGACTCTGAAAGACTATCCAAACAATTCTCATGAGATGCATGTATTTTCCTTTAGTTGTACTTATAAACCAAACCCAACACATTTGACTGGCTTAAAAGTGTACACCAGGAATAAACAACACACTCTGGTCTATTACCTCTGAGAAGTGGTTTGGGACTTGGGTATCTGACTACATCCCAGATCTCCCTCCTTTGGGGTCACCAAACGGTGGTGCGAATGTCCACAATTGGTCCCCATTTGTTCCACAGAAGAGCTGGCCAAGGTGCTTCCCAAAGCAGCCAACTTCCAAACCAACTGGGCCCCAGGTCTCTCATGAACCACAGTCTCTGGGACCTTCAGGGGATTCTCACATACCACATAATGGTCTTGGGGAACCATTGTCCCTAGATATTAAATCTATTAAATTATTTGAATTCTCTGAAAAGGTAAGTCCTCAGAAATTAAAGTGTTCACATGGGGGGTTTTTAAGATGAAACCAAAAGGTATATGGCAATCTTAAAAATTTACTTTTTAATTTCTAAAGAATAGTACAAGGGGAGAAAAGAATTCAAAATATATTTAGATATAAAATGTGTTAAGAAGCAACATCAAGAGAGGCAAATTAGTAAAAATGTCCATTATCTTTTTTTTTTTTTTGGCCAATCAACCCATTTTATAAGTGGCAATTCAGGTGCTGAAAAAACCACTTTCAACAGCCCCAAATGTCAAATTGACTTTATTACTAATGGAAAATCTGACCTGGGAATCTCTACAGTTAAGCTCTTAAAGCTTTGCGTTTCTACTATTAAATCCAACAAACTAGAATTATTACCACTACTGTACTATTTTGGAAGAAAGCAATTTCTTTAGAAGGTGGGCCCAAAAGTAGGGCAAGGAGGGAGGAGAATTAATTTTGTATCCTATGGAGAATCCTATTAATGCTTCATTTCTCAAAAAACAAAGCGAGGTTACAGCTATAGAACTTCAAGGAGTCCCAATTCTAGTTCTAAGTATTCACTGTTTTGAGTTAATAGACTTTTGTATCAACCGTAGAGTTAAATCCACTTGAGCAAGCCGGTGACTTCATTTCTGATTCACATTAGCAGGTCCAGATTTCAAGTGAAGAGAGAAAACACAGTCCGCCAGCACCATCAGTTAATTAATTATTTTAAAATATCAGCTACTCTCACAGTATTTTTTGAGAGAGGTCATTAGTCCAAATCAAAATGTGAAACGAACTTACAGCATGATATAAAATGTCTTAATATAAGACCAAGGCAAAGGGAAGATGCTTATCTTTCAAAATGAAAGGTAGCCTGGAAACTGTTCACACCAGGATGGGAAGCCTGAAGTCATTTAAAAGTCAGTAAAATATGTTTTGCCAAAAATACCACTGCACCAAAATACTAGAAAGAGCATAAAGCAACTTAGGTGACCTCTCAGCCACAGGCCATGTCTGCTGCAGAAGAAAGAAAAATGAAGCCTGGGGACTGGCAAGGATACAAAAACCAAACATCAAGAACCTTGTGAGACGGGAGAGGTTGGTTCTGCACCAGGGAAAGCCTCGGCCAGGACTCCTGGAAACACCTTTCATTTATCATCCAGGAAGGGAGAGACTCACCTTCCAATGACTGCGTTATGAACTCTGATTGCCAAGGCCAAAAAAGAAAAACATACAGAATACAGAAGAAAACAGCATTCTCAAGGTATATTTAACAACAGACTAAGCAACTTTAAATTCACTGAAAAGTAAAGTGCTTCCAGAGACATTATTTTTTAAATTTCTGCTGAACTGTGAGAAAGATGGTGAAAGAAAATTCCTTCAAAATGCTTAGGAGTTCTAAAACATCAAACCTGACCGCTCTGTTTACATTATGAAATATCAGGCATTGTGGATCCTTTTTTTTAAAAAAAAAAAAAAACCACGAATTTTAATACATTTTCACCCTCAAGACATATCTCATAAAGTCTGAGGAGTAAGCCTAAAAAGAGGAAGATCCGAAGCAACACAATTACAAAACGTACATCATTTGAAATATCACATGGTTTTAAGACTCACGGATCCGTAAAAACGTTTGTGATAAATCTCATCATTTTCAAAGATGGTTCTTACGCGTGGGCCTGATCTTTAAAGGTTGTTTGGTTTTCATTATTAGAAACATTTTTCATATTTGCCCTTCTCAGTGTGTTCAGCTATTAGGGCCTGCCACCTAGTGGTCATATCTTCTGATAAGCAATGTTAAGATACAACAACTAACTGATCTTTTTGAAGAATGCCCAACAATAGTAAAATCAGAGAGGCAGAAGTCACTAAGATCAGGCTTATAGATAAAGCAAGCCTCTAGCATCCACTGAATAATTAACTTGATGTAATTTAATAGGTGAAAATGATTTATTTCAGGCATGACTAGATCTACAAGCATTTTTGACAAGTATAATATAAGGTAACCAACCAGCACAATGCTGGGTTTTTTCTTTAAGAAAGCTCAAAAAATCCAAAATAACCATTACCCTAATTTTGGAACTTTTGGCTAAATAAAGATATTGAAACTCAAAGGGTCATTCCATTATAAATGATCATTATAAAGAGCATAAAGTAACCTAGAAAAATATTCTCAATTTAACCAAGTGGAAAGGCAGAATAAGCCATGTGTCCACTATGACTTAAAATGAGTACAGTATGTCTGCATATGGACAAAGAATTGAAAGAAATCTATCAGAATTAAAAGATCTGTGAAAAGACGGCAGGAGCCAGGATGATTTAATACCTATCAGAATGCCTAATACAAAGCAGACAATAAATGCTTGTTGAATGAACAAACTGTATGAGCTTTTAAGGTTCTTTCGTATTGTTTTGCCATTTCCTTTCCAATAAAAATCACTGGTGGTCTGAGGTTTCAGACTTCAATCTAAACTAGAAATGTTTCAATATACAATTCCCCCAGGTAAGTTTCCTGGAACACGTCTGCAGCAGGATGATGCATGAGAAAAGGGTGTGGTATCAAAGAAAAAACACCTAATAACATCTTAGAAATTCACAGTGCACACTAGCATATCACGGGACCCAAAGAGTACAAGGAGGAAACCCATTTAATTAATATGATCATCCACCAGACTGATTTGACCACAAAATCCTTTTATCCAAAGAACACGTATTAACTTTAACACACAGGGAGGCAGAGGGGGACACACACCTCGTTGGCAGGGGCACCACAGAAGGCATCAGCCTGCAAATTCTAATACAGTGACAGCAGCATGGAGAGGCAAGGGGACCATGATCATAACACGGTTCTAGGGAACACTGCTTTCCGAGCCTTCACAGAAATATCAACCGAACGGCTGCTTAGACATTTTTAAATGGGATTGCACTTTCAGTACTATGCAAGTTAAGCAGCAGCCATGCTCTGAAATAACACCTATACATAGCCCCAGTCCTCTTTCCAAGTTTTTCCCAAAACATACCATCTTTTATCATAGTACAGTTTGCCATCTTCTATCCGAGCTTCGAACCTCTGGGCTGGAGACTCTGCAGGTGTGGCAGGCAAGTGTTCAGGAGAGGATGGGGATGCTAGAGGAACCAGAGATACTTAAATGACCAAGCATGTGTGAGTCCGCCAGTTAACATGCTTTAACTCAACACTATCAGAAGGTGGTAATAAGCATGTCCAAGCCCTTACAGTGGTAGTGCATGGGAATTCAACAAAATCCTTATATGTTATATCTACACTGATCCTCAATGCACCCCTGTGAGGTCGGCAAGACACAAATTAACCTCACTGAACAGGGAGAAACCCTGAGGCTCAGGAAGGTGAAGGTCAAATGTACAAATGTACATGTCACTTAAAGGAGGACTAAAACCCTAGTAATCTTCAGAAGCCCAAAGGGGCAAGTACTATGAAAATCTCTTTTAGAAATGAAATCATTTCTAAAACTCCGGTGGGTTCAAATGATCTAAATTCAGGCACTTACTCACATAATCCCCTCCCCATCATGTCTCAGAAGCTCAGGATGTCACTGTGGACCACCGTGGCCCCCAGGGAAAATACTATCTAGAGAAAGAAGAATCTTGCTTTTCTTCCACAAGACTCAGTGAGCAGAGGGATGTGTGAGTAATCACAGTGCTTACAACAAACAAAAAAAAGACATTACCAGTTTAGAATTCTAGTTTGCAACCTAGCCATTGACTCTCAAGTGTTGTCTGGAAGGAACAATGCGAACACCGAGCCAGCCTCTTCTAAAAACCATGACTCGGAGCAGCCTCCAAGTGCCTTACCAGAGCCAGGCCATGAAAAGCTACTGGAACAGTACCGCCCCTAGGACTTAACTCCAAAAATAGAGTAATACTGAAAAATCTTTCTGGTTTCATTTTCAAAAACAGATGTGTGCTTAAACCTTATGCCTGATGCCTAACAGAAGGGAACCTTTTCCAGCGAATCAAATGTCTCATTCACAATCAATCTTAAGAAAAAGACAAAAATAACACAGCAGGGTTTAAAAAAAAAAATCAGGGCTGGGTGCACTTAAGGTCCCCTTCAGTTTTCATGATGACTACTCATAGGCAAATGATGAACATTTTTGAAAATCTGCAACAATTCCCTGACAGTTATTCACATGCTTTTCCAACAACATGATGAAAAGACTGCACAAATGCCAATACATCATGCACTTACCTGGTCTCTTGGGTGACTTAAGCTGTAGGAAGAACAAAAAAATCTTAGAGAAAATCATTTCAGATGCAACTTCAGGCGTCAAAAGTATTATTATTTAACAAGTAACATGAACAAAGTGAATCAGAAAACCATGTCAAGCCCGAGCTTTCAAATTAAAAAAAAAAATCAAACCATACCTTATTTAATGTTCTCAGATCCTCCATGATCTGTTCATCTGTTAACAAATAGTTTAGCTGGGGTGTTGAGAGTTAAAGGAATGTGTCTGAAAAGTACAGTTTCTAAGCAAAGAGTAATCAACGAAATAGTGCCAGTATTTTAGAATTTACTAAGGGTGACTGTTAAATGATGTTTTTACAATAATAGTTCGCTTCTCAGAAATTTCTTACTCTCCTACCAAACGTCATAGTGTTTAGGGTTAGGTATATAAAAGAATTCACATCACCTTACAAATTGCTACGATGAGAAGGTATAATGAGATTCATTAGGTACATATGACAACAGTGAGAGCACAGGCAATAGTAAAATAAGAATTTCATCATTTTATCATGAATTTATAAAGTGCTTTTGTTCCAAAGATTTGAAGAGTTACACACACACACACACAGAGCAAGCTTAATCTTCCCCAGTAACTTAAATCCTCAGTTGTGAAGGTGAAAGGACCTGAAGTTATGCCCTTTTCTGGTGGCAGACAAATGACAACCATTTTGGGCAAACAGCTACTTATGATCTCCTCGAGAGGAATAGAAACAACACTTCTCCATGTATCCAGTC